CCAGTGCTTATTTTGAAAAGAAAAAAAAAGGTGCCAGAACTCACACACTTCATACAACCTGCCTTGCCTACCCTACAAGGTTCCATCCAAAAAAGGTGCCGGAACTCCGTTCTGGCCGTTCTATGAGGAAAAAAAGCCCTGGTTAGGACAATACTAGTCAAAACCTTGAAAGTTCTACTTGCTGATATCTGGTCTTCAGGCAGTCACTAAGTGCACAGCCACAAAGATCCTGAGGAAAAACTGGCTACTTTCCTTGGGCTAGGAGGGTGAAAGATGCAATTGGAAAAGGCAGTGGATTTGTAAACCTGCCTTATTCCCAGATGTACTGACTGAGATTAATGGAAAAGGCTTTGCCAAGAGTCCACAGACACCCAGCTAAGCTTGTATTTCTTTGACCAAGCAAAACAGTTGGTCTCCACTTGGCAGGTAACAGATGGGGTGGGGATCCTTTAAGTTAATTAACACTAGGATGCTGCATAAGCCTCCTCAACCCCTGGTCTGCCAAACAGCCAATTAATTTGCTAATTATGAGGTATCCTTGGTCGAAAACAAGGACAAGAATCTTGGTGAACTTAGCAGAAGAGGGTGAGCATGCCCAGTTTTTGAAGGTAGCTTTTTTAAAAAAGGCAAAACAAGTGGTTTTGGGGGTAACAACAGGCCAACTCAACTACTGTAATGGGAAGATGGTCTTTGTAGAGAACAGATGCAAGATGCTATGCTACAATTTCTCCTTCAAAGAGTTCCAGCTGCCCACATTTTAAGGCGCTATTATCACCAACACTGCTGCCTACTTCCCCAAGGTAAAGTTTTAATTTACATTTAAAAAGAGCCACGGTGGCGCAGTGGTTGGAATGCAGTATTGCGGGCTAATTCAGCTCACTGCCAGGAGTTCAATCCTGACTGGCTCAAGGTTGACTCAGCCTTCCATCCTTCTGAGGTCGGTAAAATGAGGAGTCAGATTGTTGGGGGGAAATATACTGACTCTGTAAACTGCTTAGAGAGGGCTGTAAAGCACTGTGAAGTGGTATATAAGTCTATTGATATTGCCAATTGGAGGGAAGAATCCCAACGGGCCACATTAATCCAAGAGGTTTTGCAAGAATGCAAGTGGTTGAATCTCCCTCTAAGTGCCGACTAGGAATAGATTTGAAAAAGCAAAATTAGAAGCACAGACCTGTGACTAAGACTTTTTTTAAGTTTTGTAAGTGCTACCAGTAATCCTCAACCTCCAACCATTCATTTAGCAACCATTTGAAATTACAATGGCACTGAAAAGAATGCCTTGCAGCTGGTTCTCACACAACCATCACATCATTCCTGTGGTCATGCGATCAAAATTCTGGTGTTCGGCCACTAGCATGTATTTGACAACTGCAGGGTCCTTGGGTCATGCGATCTCCAAGTGTGACCTTCCCAGCTGGCTTCCAACAGGCAAAATCAATGGGGAAGCCAGACTCATTTAACAATTGTGGCAAAAAAAAAAGGTTGTAAAATTGGGCACAACTTACTTAACAACCGCCTTGCTTAGCAAGGGAAGTTCCAGTCCAAATTGTGGTCATAAGTTGAAAACTATCTGTATTTATTTATATAAGTGGTCTTCAAACTTGGCAGCTTTAAGACTTGTGGACTTCAACTCCCATAATTCCTCAGCCAGCCATGAGGAATTCTGGGAGTTAAAGTCCACAAGTCTTAAAGCTGCCAAGTTTGAAAACCCCTGATTTATATCAAGCTCTAGGAACACCTCTGATAGGAAATGGTCAGAATTCTCTGATTTTGGCATAAGAGCCCAGTGTGAGAACAACTGTGATTTCTTCAATAAACCATGGTTGAGCAAACCCTATCGTAATATAATTCAAGAACTCAATCATTGATTGAAAACGGCTTCATGTCAATAGAATTATAATTTTGGCTTCTTATACCGGGAATTAAAATGCAGTGGGGCCGATTTCTGTAATATGTATAAAGCTGCACAGTTGCCCAGTGTCTTGTTGGGGAATGTGTGCTTGTGTATCTCTGTGTGCATGCCTTTCTCACACACAAGAGCCGGGTGTGATACATTTGCTGAATTTAGGGCCATGTTTCCAAATACAGAATTCTTGTAAACGTACCGTGCAGTAGAACTAGTGTTTATAGGTATGTATAGTGGAACCAGTGGTTGCAAGTACATAGTGAAGTAGTAATTCTCTTCTGTTTAGAGGGTGCCTCTTCCCCTCCGACTTTAGATTTTATCACAATGAGCTTCCTGGAATCAGTCAAGAGTGATCTCTATCAGGCATCCGGCTGCTGGAAGGTGAATAGTGCTACTGACAGTGCTACAAGAAATCTTGAGTCCGGCAAAATTCAGGATTTTCCATACATTGTGTCCAAGCCTGGATGGAAACCTACATCTACAGTCATAGGAGCAAGGCCATACCAGAGTCATTTCAATACAGAGGCAAGATGCCCCCTGTTTTGTCCAAAGTTAAATTTAACTACTCCACTTTGGATCTAGATTGAGGTCATGGTCAGGTTCCACAGGCAGAAGTCGAGCCGCCAGATTGAGGACCACTTGGCTGTAAAAGAAGCCAGAGGCTGTGGGGAAGCAAATGTGTGAACTCAAGTTGCATGAAGGAATGCTGAAGAACCACTGGGTCACTTGGGGCTCAGCAACAGCTGGATAAGCTCAAAGTTTTGGCAGCAGAACATTCAGAGAAGCTCCTACCAATTAGGGATGGGGAACTATGGCTCCTTTATGACTTGTGGACTTCAACTCCCAGAATTCCTGAGCCATGCTGGCTCAGGAATTCTGGGAGTTGAAGTCCACAAGTCATAAAGGAGCCATAGTTCCCCACCTTTGCTCTAAGTATTGTTCTTCTGCCCAATAAGACAATTGGCCTTGGCTTGGACTGGGCAGCATTAACATCCTGCACTTTTGTGGCCCAAGTCTTCTCTGTAGCTTGAAGAACTTCCAAGTCAAGAGGTCATCTTCTTCGGTTTCTTGAGAAAATCCAAGCAGAAGATGGTTGAAGAGCTCCAAGGCCTACCTTGCTGTTTGCAAGACCCATAGAAAATGAGAGCACTACTATCTGAATGCAAAACATCTCACAAGTTTTATCCAAAAGTTTACAGTGGAAACATAGCTGCACATGTCTGTACAAAAATCCAACTCTGAATAAGGTTTTTATGCATAAGTAAGCTGAACACAGTTATTGGCACACAGTGCCTCCCTAAATTGCTGGCCTTGCTTTGTTTGTTTGTTGCTTTTTCCCCCCTTTAGCATCTCTTTTGAGAAATATCTGTCAGGGTGCACAACGGCCACTCTTTTCCCGTCTGCGCTGTGTCACCCCTCCTCCCCTCTTCCTGCAGTTATTTCCTGAGAGATAAAGTTAAAAACAAAAAACCAGAAAGCTGCCCTTTGGTTTCCCTCACACAAGGCATTTGCTGGTGAGAGATTGGAACATTCAGACACGAAGCCGTTTTCAGAGGCACGGTTCTGCTCTGAGGACTTCGCTTAGGCCAGGAATATGGCTCATCAAATGTCGCTAAACTACAATTCCCAAGAGCCTTTGCTGGCAGAGCAGATAATAAAGGGTGCCGGGAGTTGTAGCGCAGTGGCATATGGAAGATCACAAATCACCTTTTGTCTAAGGTTTTAGACAAACACCTTTTTTGTTTTGTCTAAAGATTGCCCAGCCTTCCTCAATCTGGCACCTTCTAGATATGCTGGATTACAATTAAGACTGATTGATCTTTATGTCTATGTCTGTCTATGTCCTGTTCTCCCTTTCTCCTTCTATAGCTTTAAGCAGTCCTTAGAAAGATGCTGCATTGAGGTTTGGGCAGGGTAGCCACAAGTTTCATTCTGCCTACGCCCGGCCTTCATAATATCCAACTACCCTGCTAATCCAGATCTTTTAAGATTCGGCTCTCTTGGAAATTAAGGTGATCTTATTTAACTTCCCCTGTTTCTCTTCCTAAGCAGTCCTGAGAATTACTGTTTAATTCAGCAGGAGCAAAGTGGGGACTCCTGACAGAGCCAATCTTTTACAAACTTGGAGAAAAGTCGGTAAAACTAGAATAAACTGAATTTATTAAACTGAACGTTGGACTTCCTGTTGGTCTATTGGCCTTTCAAGTAGAATTAGGGTACGCTGCAAGAGAAAAATGTAACACCAACACCTCTTTTCTTATAGATTTTCCTTTCAAAGTTGCTCTAGAATAAGGAGAGGAAAAATGTGTAGTAACATCTGGATTTTTTTAAAGACTGGAGGGAGGTTGTGGGGAGTTGCTGCAGCTTCTGGAGGTAATGAGACAGACAGGATGTGGCTCCCCAGAGCAGATATAGATACAGAGCAGCTCAGAAACCACATTTATACAAACTGGGGGGGGGGGGAGGAGGGGGTTGGGAGTTCCCCATTCATCGGCCTTCCCAGCAGGAGGGAAAATATCTGCTGCTATAGACTTATGGGCTGACTGCAAGACATGGACTCCCAAATTGGATTAAGTGTTCCTTCTTCTAAGCACAGTTCAGAATCGGCCTGGCCCCAAGTGTAAGGGAAAGATTGAACTTGATGTGCATAAAACCCCTGGCAGTCTTGCCCTTCAACACTTAAAAATACAAAACCAAAATGCAGAAAATATCTTGGGAGTTCTTGCTACTTCATGGCCACTTACCGAGGCCGGTTTCATGCGCAGCTCACTCCCATCCTGTAGCTGAGCCTTCTAAATGTAATGCAAATTTCCAGCCAACGTGGCCAAAGACAAGGCTAAACGGGAATTCTGGGACTTGAAGTCCCAATGCATCTGGAGGGTGTCCAATAAGAGAAGGTGGTAGCTTTTGTTTTCTACTGAGGACAGTTTTTGCCTCGGGTCTGAGCTTTCTCAATCTTTCTGACTAAACCTCAAATGTTACTTCATGCTCTAGGCTAAGTTAACATGCTGGTTCTTCTAATGCCCCCCTCATTAAGTCCTAACATAAACCACCCAATGTACAAACGCAAACCAAACATGTCAAGTTTTTTTTAAAAAACTAGTTAAACCCATAATAATATCCTGTTTCCCATCCATTTCTAAAAGTCATCCTATGGCCCACAACAACAAAGAACCACCCAATGATTTGAAGAGACTGCTTTATGCCAATTCCTGAAAAACATCCCAAACCCAAACTACCCTCATTATGAATGAAGTATACAAAATCACTTGTACTTCTTTGGCCTCACAATGTGCTACGTTTTTTTTTTCTTTTGAGGTCTCCTTTCTCCCTTCCACCTGAAGACCCACTGTCACCCCGCTCCCATCCCAGCTGACGAATTATTCTTCCAAAAGTCCATGACGGATGCAACCTGCGTTCCACAGAGCTGGTCTGTTGGGCGTTCGGAAGCCCAGTCCTCTGCTAATCAAATAAATAAATAAATAGAGAACACAGCAAGCAGAGACAGCCGGCCTCACAGCTGAACTGTACTTTGCTTTCCCAATAAGAATGTCCTTTTACAACTGGCTCTCCTCTTCCTCCAAAGACCGATTCAACCCAGGAATAAACTTGAGGAGTCTCTTGCGGAAGCTTCCCTGTTTGCTTTTAGGGGGCCTTGACGTGACTACAGAGTTCTTTGGTTCTCTGGATTTGTCCCAGAAATAGGCATCCCCATTGCTGCTGCTGGTGGTGGTGGTGGTGGTGCATTTGACGCTGATGCTGCGGGTTAATGTTGTCTTGGGGCGTGAAGACTGAGCTGCTGCGGAGACAATGTCCAGGGAGTCGGCAGAGTCAAAAAAGCAAGTTTGGTAAAGAGACTCCTCAGTCTCATCAGTGGCAGTGCTGACACAGCCCACGCTGCTGTAAGTGCTCCCAGCTCCTCTCAACAGCATCCCATAGGGTGTAGAGCCATACAGGCAGGAGCGCACAGACTCCAACGTATCATAGATGCTGGGGTCTTTAACCACGATCCCTACCAGAAAAGAGAAAACAATTACTTAAGTGAAGGCAGGAACCTGCTTCTTCTCCCAAAGAGAAGAACTAGTCCATGTTTGAATCCACACTTTGTGGTAATCTTGGTTTGGCTTAGTGCGGTGTTTCTCAAGCTTCAATAACTATAAGGCACATGGACTTCAATTCCCAGAAACACTCGCCTAGTGGGTTACACAAACACAGCCAAGAGTAGTCTGTAAACCATGAAATATGTCTTTCTGCTGCCAGCCCCTTCAGCCAGATTTGGTTCTCCATCCATGATCTAGAAGACAATCAGAAAAAACGCCGACACTCTTCTGACACTCACCATGGACCAAGCGCTGCTCCTGGACCATCAATGACCGATATTCTCCCCATTTTTCATAGAGTGTTTGCTACAATGGAAAGAAACTGACATTACAAACAACAACAAGGATCAGTCAAGACTATATATATATCTAATTATGATCTCCTTCAAATAGTGCTTGATTGCTGGTGAGCCATTCTCCTTAAATCTCATCCTTCCTTTTTTATTTGCTCTGTGGCTAAAGCAGATGGCTTCTCCTGCCTGGGTTCGGGGGTTCAAAGAATCCAATAGATAAGAGTTGGAAATGTTATGGGCTGCAAAGAGACACAACAAAAGCCTGAAAGAGGAGCAAAGTTGCAGCCTATTGTCCAACTACCTGCTGGCTTCTGAAAGATACTAATGGCCCACCTACTTCTCAAGGATAGGGAGGCTTCTTGCTAAAGACATAAAAAAAATCCTCAGAACTACAGATTTTCAGACAGTAATTAAACAAGGCTGTGGCTCCATTTATCAGTAGACTCTGCAGGTAGAACTTCCCGATTTAGTTTATGACATATCTAATAAGGAAAAATATGAGGTAGGAGATGATGAAGAGCATCTTTCTGAACAACGGGAGAAATAAGAGAGTAGTAGCTCAGGAATCAAAGCTGCAATGCGTTATTATTAATTTAAATTTCTTTCTTTAAAAAAAATATATTCAAGCCTGCAACATTAGATAGAGATAGATGATAAACAGACAGACAGATATAGATAGGTAGATAGGTAAATAAGTAGGTCAGTGATGGCGAACCTATGGCACGGGTGTCAGAGGCGGCACTCGGAGCCCTCTCTGTGGGCACATGTGCCGTTGCCCCAGCCTTGCCTCCCCCGTGACCCCCCCCACCAGCAGACCCCCTGGAGGAGAGTTGCCCCCGAGCGTGGTCCACGCGGAGCAGCACAGCCAAGGACATGGCAGCCAGGCAGCGTAGACAAGACTCTGCCCTCACGCCCCATTCCGCGCAGTTAATGCTGCGGGGCGCAGGCAGAGGGCGTGGCCACCATGGCGCTACTAGGTTGCCTGGGTGATCTGCGGTGGGCCCTGGAGGCTGTGAGTGGCCCTGTGGGCAGGCGGGGTAGGGCAGGGCAGGGGGTGGAGCTAGGGCAGGGCCAGTTTTTGGGCACTCAGTCTCTAAAAGGTTTGCCTTCACTGAAGTAGATAGACAGACAGACAGACAGACAGACAGACAGACAGACAGACAGATGCCTTTGAGTCAACATTCCTAGGGATGATATGAAGGGATTGGCCAAAGGTCACCCAGCTGGCTTGGTGCCTAAGATCAGACTAGAACTCACAGTCTCCTGATTTCTAGCCTGATGCCTTAACTATCACACCACACTGCCTATAATATTTATAAAGAACAAGCAAAACCCAAAATCCAAGCAATGTAAGAAATGTACTCAATTTAGTTACGCCAACTGTATTCTTTTATATCAGTGTAGGTATTCCTTTTGTCATATCCAGAACCACCTTAAATTACACCTTAATCATGGGGAATAAGATTATTTTTAAGGGATCCCTCACCTCATAAAAATACAGTTTGGGCCAACCACTTTTTTTTTTTTTTTTTTTTT